CAATAACAATATCTTTGTTTTTAACAATGAGCATTGCATTGATCTGCTGAGAAGGATACCTGTTTCTGACAAGGGAAAAGAAATTGTGGCTGCTGGATCTCCACCATCTCTGACAATACTCAGAATTCAAACATATGAACTAAGAGATACCAAAAACACCGAACGACAGAAAGGTTAGGGCTAATGTGCTGCATTTTAACAGTGATCTCCAGTCCTGTGATCCACGTACTGCTCACTTAAATCTCATAGGATTATATATGCAATGTGTCTGCAACTTCCGAGTAGCATGGTGGAGAATGATTAGTAGTGGTAAATATATTTGTCATACTAAATCTCTAGCCCTCTATTTAGATAAAGATGTTTTGTTAAGAGTCAAGCACGTACATGTAGAACTGTGCTTAAAGTTTTTGAACTCTGGTTTTGAAGTGTATGCCAGATAAACTTTATTTAAGTGATCTGTCATCGAAACGCTTCCTGTGCACTCCAACCCGCAGACTGAAGTCCAAAACATTTAATTGGGTTCTGGCCTCACTGTGTAATTACTGTTTTATCAAAGTGCCTGAACGTTAAGCACGCTATGTTGACTTAATGAATTTTTTTCGTAATGTAGGTAAGAAATGTTTTGGGGAAAAAAAGTGGAGTAATTGATAGTATTTATCATTTCTTCTCCCCTCATTTACACAATGCTGGCCTTGGGAAAGGAGACTGGATTTTGAAAATGCAGTTCTAGGTCTCCGTGTATCTCTTTGTAGGATTTCTGTTTGGAATGCCTTAGGAAAGATGCCATTGTTGAAATTAAACTGTTTGGTGGACAGACATAATCAGAGAACTGCTTGACCTGGTTCTGTTTTATGGTTGGGCTCTCTTACACTGCTCTATTAGAATAAATATTTGTTCATTTTCTTTAAGGCTCCTTTACATGGCTAAAGCAGCATATGTTTATAGACACATATTAGTATAAATACAAATTAGGCCCATAAGTTTGCACAGCTGTAATGACTGGAATTTAGTAAATGAAATAGTGCCAACACTGTTAATTGTGCAGGAGTGAACAGCAAGACAGATGTACTTGTTAGTAAAGTGGCTGTAGCCAGGAGTAGAGTAGATCTACCCTTTTACTGTCACTTTTTGGAAGGGAGCTCTTCTTTGGGTTTGGATTTTCTTTTTTTTTTTTTTTTTTAATTTTTGAATCTCCTGTTTGGTTGCCCAACAGCTTGCTTGCCTGACTCTGTACCATCAGATTTCAGAAGTACATCTGCCTGTCATGCAGCATGTTGTTTTGGTCCCATGAAAAGATGCTGCATAGGATGAGGCTTGTCGTCTGCTCGCCTGCCTGTAGGGGACCAGGCACTGGGGCAGAGCAGCAGGAGCTGGCTTTAGGTCCTAATGTAGGATGCCCAGATTCCATCCTGAGCAATGGCCAGACCTGCCGCTAGCTACGATAGCACAAAGACGTGTTGTAAAGTGGTCTAAGGAAAATGCCATTTAAATCAGACAGAGATCTTCCTATTTCTGTGTCTTATAGCTCTGAGTGTGCTATTGCTTGAGTAGGTGTTACTGTGAGCAATAAGGAGAGATCTGACTGAAAGAAAGAAGGTGGCTGAGAGGGGAGTCCAAAAAAACAGCTGGCAGGGAAATAAAGAATAATAAAAAATTTCTCAATCATTGTTTGTTTTGGAAAGATCATGCTTTAAGCACATGGAAATACTTTACACGTTTGAGAAGTGCTGACTTCCTACATGCCTTGTGAAGGAACAGCAAATCATTCATATAATGTAAACACATTTATAGATTGTTCCAATATAACTTTTTTCAGTGCTGCTGTTCTTTTTAACAAGATATAATTTAGTGCATATATTAGCTTTTGATGCTGTGCTTTGGCCAAGAGATGCAAACATCGTAATTGTTAAATATTAGAGTTTGTGCCAAATGACAGTGCAAAGTTACTGAATCATGTTTTTAATGCAAAAAGTTGTTAAACAGTGCTGCTTGATGCACGGTTTAAATGTAAATATGCCAGAAAGCAGTGCTGGGGTGAAACAGAAATAAATAGCTCGTCTAAAGCAATCTCATTATGCCTTGATAGAGATGGTATAAAAAAAGGAGAGCAAACAAAGTTCCTCTGTAAGGGTGGAATTTTAAGTCTGGGAAGAAAAATAAATAAAATGAGAAACTTTGGTGCCAAAATTGCAGTGGGTGTTTGTGAAATTGTATAATCATAGTGCTGGGCAGGGGTCTTGAGAGGTCATGGGGACCTTCCCCCTGCTGTGAGGCAGAGTCGGGGGCACTTTATGACACAGGTACCTGTCTAACCAGTTTTTAAAGACCTCTGGAGATGGAGACTCTGCAGTCTCTAGTAGCACTTACTGCCCTTGCTTTTGCATTTTAGGGGAAACTTAGTAACTGTGCATTTCCTCGACCCAATGCAAGTTGGTTTTCTGTCTAGGTAGGTGCCAAAAGCAGGTTTTTCTCTGTGTCTTTGTGGGAACTTTTTATGTACTCGAAGATGACTGTGTAAAGAGAACAGAACTAAATATTTTAGAATTAATTGTTACTTAACAATAAAAGCGTTGATTTTTTTCCTGCAAGTGGTCGATAGACTGTCTCCGCTCTACAGACTGGATGTGAAATTACATTCATCAGCTGAGAGGAGGACTCTTTAGAGAGGAAAATTCTTTTAAAGATAGTAGTAAGAACATTTAAAGAATTGTAGTAAGAGCAATGAAGGACTTGAAGTTATTTAGGCAAGCTTAACTAGTAAATTTGTGTATGTGCGTAAAAGAATGTGTGATCTTTCTGCCATGATTCCTTTTTCTTGACACTTACCTGCCTTTGTGAGAACACTGCATGTTTTCTTCTAATCCTTTCATCTGTTGCTGCTGATCAAAGTTGTTTTGTGTCATTCCTTCATCTTCTCTTTTGTTTACCTGGAGGAGAGCTGGTGACCTGGAATGGCAGAGCTGGGCTAATGGCTTCACAGATACCTCTGAGTCAGCGGTCAGTTGGGTTGTGTCTGTCTGTCTGGTTTTCAGAGACTTACCTATTAGGCATGTGTGTGCAGACTTATTTCACAGACTAGTTTTATTCCTGTTTGTTTAATTTCTCAATGAACTAGAATCTATTGGCTGACATTGTAGAGTATGTTGACCTTGCAGCACGGTTAAAAGATCTCCCATATACCTATGTTTTCTTCCTTGCCTGTTCTCAGGGCCACCTTCAGAAAAATTTTGGGTAAGTACAGCCTGTGCCTGCCTTTTCTGAAATTCCTGCCAGACTTAAAGAAGGTGAGCCAAGAGGAGGACAAGAGGGATGGCCGTAGTGGGAGGTAGTTGCTGTAAGAAATGTGGCAGGGAAGTTGGTATCAAGTGCTGGCAGCAGTGGTGTCATCGTGGGGCACAGGGTCAGGGCTTGTAGAGGTGAGGAAGCATAGGGCAGCAGATGACATGGAGGAGGTAGGAACTTGGATGTGAGGTGCTTTGGAGAGAACGTAGGGGGACATTGGGCCATCACTCTGAGAGGGGGAGATTTGGGGTGAAGTTTGGCAGAAAGATGGGAATGAGTGGGACAGGGTAGTTCGTAGGAAGAAAGACTGAGGGGCTCCTGCATGGGATTGGAATTATAGGAGAGCTCTGGAGCCAGAAGGATTTAAGGAATTGAGGGTTCTGGTATGAATTTCTCTGGATGGGTTTTGGTGTAAGAAGTCTGGTCTCCGAGGGCAGGAGAGGATGGTGTGTGCACACTTGTGTGATTTCAAACATGATGCTCCCTGCACTTGTTAACAAAGATTCTGGCTGTAGGCACGGGTGTACATGCAGGGCTTGTCTTTCCCACAGCATCTTCTGTTTTGCATTAATCTCAGTCAGAAGGAACACCAGCCTTACTAATAGATTAATTCTCTACAAGAAAAAAATTGTTCAACGTGTTGATTGAGGCCAAGCTCTATGTGTATGTGTGTACCAGCTTTCTGCACCTTAACTCGTGCCTCACTGAACACAGCAGATAAATGAATGCTTGCTACTGGGTCTTAGAGGAGTTGATTTCTGAGCTTTAAAAAAGCAGATCTGTAAATTTAAAATACTTTTAAAAATAAAGATATATTTAAAGATGTATTTCAAAGGAGCTGTTGGAGGCTTTAATTTTCAATAGTACTCATGCAAGATGCACTCGTATTGTGCTAGAGGTCTTGCAGCAAAAGATATTTTGGATCAAAGAGACAATGTTCTGTACCAAGGAGACTTCAAAAGTAATTCTCCTGCAGAATGTTTGTTCAGGTGCAGAGGGTGGGAGAAGGGACTATTGTTTTAGGCAATCGGTGTTGGACATTAAAAGGTGAATTTCCCCATATATCCCTAGTCTGGACTCAGCGTGTCAGTCAAGGTGTTGCTGGAAAAGGATATTGACAGCATTGGCGTCAAATGAAAGAGAAACGATCCTCCTTAAGAAGTGCCTTAGTCTCTGAATGTTTGGGTTATCTTCATTCCTTTTAAATCTTTGAGTTTTGTTTGTGTTTTTTAAAGAAGAAAACCCTGGAAAATGGAGTATATCAAAGTGGAGTTGTTTGGGGTTTTTTTTTGTTTATTTTATTCTGCTTTGCCTGAACATAGTTGCTACATAGGTAACTTTTGTATTTTGGGGAAATAGGAGACTCAGGTGTAGTTTGTGACATGTTATAGTTCAGCAGAATGTGTGGCAGAGCAGTAAAATCCTGTCTCTTGCAAAGCTGATAATAGCATGGTAATTTGTTGGGTTTTATGCAGGCTCTTTTTAAAAATATAAAATATGTAAGAATATTATGACTACAAAGAAACCTGCTTTGACTCACTTAGACAAATGTGTGTAGTGGTATGGGCAGGAAATGGAGGGACGGAGAGCACATGTGGAACCATCTATCTAAATTAGCTGGATGGAGGCCAGGAAACGAACTTGCAGCGTTTGCAATGATTAGTAGAAAATGAAATGATGGGTTTGTGTAAGAATAATGATTCTTGTGTTATTCTGAGATGGTGAGGTACATCCTGCAGAAGACAAACGGTACGTTTAAAGGTGGTACATGTGGAATTGGAAGACAGTGGAAAGGTAAGTAGGTTGGAGGGAGGAACAATTTAAAACGGGAGGGCTGTGCACAGGAGGAAAGCAGCATATATTTTTAGGTCTGAGGTCCATTCTCCTGTTTCGTCTCTTGAAAGAGAGGCATAAATAAATCCAGCACTGCTCTCTTCTCCAAAGCATAGAGAGAATCGCAGCAATGTGATCCTCTTCCAAACTGTCAGAGGCAGCGCTCAAGTAAACAAGAGCTGCTGGTCTGTGCTATGTAGATGTGCTGACAGATCTAAAAGGGATGGATGTAGGCATCTGATCCTCGCCATCATTACGAAGTCTTTGCCATCGGGGTTTAGGGCTGTCGGTGTTTGTGAACCTGTGGCCATGTGTACTCGCTAGCATAAAAAAAAGAAGCCACATGCATCCAAGAATATAGATAAAGATGTCTAGCTTGTAATATCCCTGCAATAGGCCCTTTGAGACAAGCAAAGTTGGAATAATCGATCAGTAAATATTTGAAGAATTTTCTTCTGTTCCAAAAAAGGTGACAGTGTGATGTTAATGGCACTGGGAGTGGCAGTGTGTTTCTCCACTTTGATTTGGAGTGGGATTTGAGCCAGATCATGACTGCAAGTTCAGAAAAGGGATAACCAGTGGAGTATTAATGTTGGATTTTCCACCAGCCACAAAGAGAGACTAACATGGATAGAGATGGAGGGCTTCAGTGTTGTCTGCTTGGGAGAGGAGATCTCGGCATAGGTCTTTGAAATCTAGATCCTGGTGCACAAGGTCTGTTGGCACTATCTTGGCTGTGCCTACACACCAAAGATTCCCCTTTGTGGCTGTTCCCAGTAAAACATGATTAGGGTTTTCTTTTGTGTGGGGGGAGAGGAAGAGGGCTTGGCTTGAAAGCTGATGGGAGGATGTAGAGGGGGATTGCGATGGAAACTTCAAGCTTCTTTAGTTTTCATCCATTCAGTTTTCACTTAGTCACTTTAATCTGCTTCTTCATGGAATGAGGCTTTGAGCTTGAATTCCCATTTTAACTTAGAATCATAGAATGGTTTGGGTTGGAAGGGACCTCAAAGATCATCTAGTTCCAACCCCCCTGCCATGGGCAGGGAAACCCTCCACTACACCAGGTTGCCCAAAGCCTCATCCAACCTGGCCTTGAACACCTCCAGGGATGGGGCAGCCACGACTTCTCTTGGCAACCTGTTCCAGTGCCTCACCACCCTCTGAGTGAAGAATTTCTTCCTTACATCTAACTGAAATCTCCCCTCTTTCAGTTTAAAGCCATTGCCCCTTGTCCTAGCATTACACGCCCTTGTCACAAGTCCCTCTCCAGCTTTCCTGTAGGCCCCCTTTAAGTACTGGAAGGCTGCTATAAGATCACCCCGGAGCCTTCTCTTCTCCAGGCTGAACAGCCCCAACTCTCTCAGCCTGTCTTTGTAGCAGAGGTGTTCCAGCCCTCAGATAGTCTTTGTGGCCCTCCTCTGGACCCGCTCCAGCAGCTCCATGTCCTTCTTGTCCTGGGGACTCCAGAGCTGAACACAGTTCTTCAGGGGGGGAGTCTCATGAGTACTACAGATGTAGGATTCTACTACTTATGTAGGATCTGAAGCCTAGACAGGATTTAAGCTAAGCATTTATCTCAAATCAGGCAAGTCTAAAATCTCTTTGGAATAAGGAGTGAAAAAAACCCAAACCCCACCACCTTAAGGCGCGGTTTATACTAAAGCTTAATGTTGTATCAGTTTAGTTTCGTTGGTGGTATTGCGTGCAGCATCTGCTTTATGCTAATTTTTAACTTGTTTTGTGTCTGGTTAGTTAAGTGAATTTGAAATACAAAATTAAACAGACATGTCACTTCTAAAGTAACAGAAATATTCTTGCAGAGCGCTGTACCCATTTAACTGTTGGTTGCTTTTAAGCTCTGTGTGTAACTAACTTCAGCTGTAGCTGAGATGCCAGGTATAATTTTGGCATTAAGTCTGTTTGTCTCCTAATTGGAAACCTTTGGATTATTATTTTTTTTTAAAAAAAGGACTCTGAATAAAATAGTGGTGGTATCTGGGTTATTTTGTTTGTCATGAAGAACAGAGTATAAATGTGACTGCACTTTCAATTAATTTTTATTTAGTTTATTTTTATTAACGAAGTGACAAAGCACGCAGCAACTGCAGCTTTTCAAAACGCGAAATTTCTTCTGTGGGAAGAAATGCTCTTTAGAACTCAGAGTACTTTGTTGTTAAATACATCTCTACATGGCCGTGCTGGTTTACCTTCTGTTATCTTCAGCCCATCTCTGCTCCATCTCACTGGTAGCACCAGGCTTAGAAATGGAGGAATAGGCTGTGCTGGAGTATGTAGCAGAGGAGGACGTACAGGTTGGCAGTGGATTTAGATAGTGAAAATAACTGCTGCATGTTTTGTTTGGGGAAACCTCTGTCTGCAGCTCTGGAGCCATGGAAGTGCAGTACGGACCTGGGAAAGTTGGGAAGAGGTTGTATTTTCTTACATTTTATATGGGCAAATTTTTGTTATTGTGCATTCAGTTGTCTTTGGTTTTGCTGGCCAAAAATGAGGGGTAGGAAAGCTAAGGAATAGCCAGCTGAGACTTTTAGGAAGTGGAGAGAGAGCCCATACCTGGCATTGCCTGTGGGCACAGGGAGAGACACGCACAGCAGCTCTTTCTTTGCAGTTGGAGGTACGTGTGTGTGTGCATTGCCAATTGTCCGTGACAGCTGATACTGAGGGAGGGAGCTTTTTAGGGGAACTCACGGGTTTAGATCAGGGAACAGCTACTTCAGTCAAAATGCTTCGTTTCCGGTTAATACCAAGTGACTATCAGATAAAGCCAGTTGAAACATGATTTTGTAGACTGGAGTATTAATGCAGCTGTGTTTGGGTGGTGGTGTGGTTTTATTTTTCCTGTTTGTTTCCCCACCTTCCCTAGCAGGGCACGTTTTGCTGCAGGATCAGTCAGAAAACTCGAATCAAAGTGGATAATGGGAATGATAGGGTTACTACCCTGACCACTTTGGCAGATGAATTGAATTTCTAAAATCTGCCTCTTTCACAATTCTTTTATGCTTTTATATTTTTTGATTCAATTAATCTTGACTGTTTTTTAAAATTATTTACATAAGGGCACACAAAGTATGAAGCTAAGGCTGCGAAAAATAACTTAGTAAATACTTTCTTACTGTTCCAAAATCTAATTAAAAACCTGCAAACTTCATCATTCATCATTTTACCATAGGAGTGTATTTCTTATGGAGACAGCCTAATATCCTGCAGCAACTTCATGGCATTACAAAAATAATTAATGGACCCTTTTAGGGCAGTGCGTGTTGCTACAATGTGGAATAATACTTCAGTGTTGTAAGTGAATGGTGTGCTAGGAAACACTAATCCCTCGTGTGTAGTAACAGGAAGTATGAATATTACTTATTAATAATAACATAAAACACCTTCGCACACATGCTTTTTTCTGGGCATGTCTACCTTTTCGTAAATAACAGCGAATTTTAATTACAGAAAATTGATGGAGAAGCAAGAACAATTTGTGTAATTAAGAAGATGTGTTTATTTAAAAGCCTTTAGAAGTTGTAAAAGATGGAACTTAGCCGTGTGTGAGGGATGAATGTTGTGCAATAATGCCCCTTCATTCCCCTTTCATAATAAATCTCCGCAGAGTATTCATCCGAAGGGCTGGATGCCAAAAAGAACAGGTTTGGCTTGTCTGCGAGGATTTACACCACAGAAAAACGCACAACTGCTTTGGTAGAGGTCATTGTGAAGGTCATGGAGCCCGGACGTGCTGCCGAACGAGAGCAGCCCGCGACGATGGTGCGAGAGGTTGGGCTGGGTGAAATCAATATTTCAAACCTCGTATGAAATGTAGCAATAAGCTGGAATCGCTAAAACACATGACTTCAAAGCACGTATGCTGTTTTGCAAGAAATGGACGGTCTCTTTTTCCAGAAGTCTGCATCTCCTACCCTCTGCTGCATGTGGCTTCTAGGGCAAACACAAGAGTCTTCTTGATTCCTGAATTTTAACATTGAAGTAACTTACTGTGTCTAATACAAACACTCTCAAACCATTAATGATTGCCTCTGTCCAGTTTAAAAAACTCCCTCATTGATATTGGAGTGGATTTAATTACCTGAAATTTGGCACACCTTTTTTTTTTTTTTAACAAATAAGGTCCGAGTTTGACCGTGGGGTCACTATGTCTTTAAATAAAAGATGATGATCATTTCGAATGGCAACCGGCCATCGGTGGGGTTTAGTGCGGAGATTAATTAGTAAACTTTGGAATGCGCTACGGCAAATGCAGCTGATTGGCAATAGCATGTGGAGCAGCAACTGGTGGAAAGCTGGTGCTGCTGAGCAGCAGAGGTATTTCCAAAAAGTCTTAGGAGTGCTGTGGTGTGCTATGCTTTAAATGGCACTGTGCTGATTGCATCAAACCACCAGTTTTCTATTTCTGCGGCTTAGTAAATGCACAGACTAAAGAAATCTGATGTGCCTTTGGAAAGAAAACAAGTTTTCCTATATTGTTTTGATGTGATTAGGTACACCCCATCAATAAGCAGTGACGCCCCTGAACATCAGTTTACAGAGAATTGTGGTTTGTCTGCATTGCATTTTGCGATTTTTTTTTTTAACGAGGAAGACGAATGCGAAGTGTACTGTCGAATGCTGAGATGTGAATTATTCGAAACAGACGCTGAAGTAAATATGATTAATTCAATGGCTGTTGCAGTAAGCCATTTCTTAAGAGTTCTAGTCTGTTTTTAAAAATGATATAGATTAATTTGTGTGTGTGTTTGCATGATTTATAATTGCTTACTGTTTTCCTTTTAAGGTTTTAAATAGTGATTAGAGAAATCGGGAAACTTTTTCTGTAAATTAGCTTGCTAAGGTTGCTCGATCTATTTGGTGTGAGTAATGGACCCCATTACAGGTAGTCCCTAGTGGGACTATTTTCTCAATTTGTGTAGACCATGGGATTGGGGCCCAGGTTAAGATGATTTATGTGATAAATAACTGCTCTTGAGAGAGTACTTGGAAGCCCTGTACACTTCTTAAAATCTCTCTTAATGTTACTGTATTAATCTTTTGGTGCCCACCTTCAGTTAGAGAGGCATGATCAAGCATCCATTTAAATCAGTAGGAAAACTCACACCAATACCAGTAGGTGTTTGCTTCAGAAATGTCACAGAATCACAGAATGTCAGGGATTGGAAGAGACCTCAAAGGATCATCTAGTCCAATCCCCCTGCCAGAGCAGGACCACCTAGAAATGTCTTGTGCAACATGATTAGCCTGGTAAAATTAATCTTACTCTGTGTATCCTGAGTATTGAGCAGAAGTCTGCCCTTGTGGACAAGTTCATGGTATCACTGAAATAGATCAAAAATTTTAATACTACTAAAACTGGCAGAGGTGCTTGATATCATAAGATATGGATCATCTTGGCTTTGACCCAGGAAGCCCTTAAGCATGTGCTTTAAAATTAGGCATGCCTGTACACCTCTTGGTTTAACTCTTAGCTCTGTTACTTTGTCCTTGTTGAGTTTCAGTCCTTAGGGCCCGTCGATGTGTTGTGGCGGATCTGTGGACCAGGCAGTAGCAGATGCCAGAGTCCAATACCTGGTTATGAACTGCTCGACTTCAAGCTGTTGGAACGGTTTCCAGAAGGCCAAGGAGCGGAGACTGGAGTTGTCAGGGTGCTGGTTGTTTCTCTGGAGACCTGTTCCTGCAAGCCTCTGCTTCCTAGACCGTTGTGTTTATTGCCATAAGTAATTGCAGTGGAGCGGATGGGCTCAGTTTACGCAATCAGGTTTAGGCTTGCTTGGCTTTGCTGGGCTGGACTTGTGGGCCACAATCCAGACAAAGCAATCGGTATGTGACTGCTCCTTTGGCTTTGCAAGGCTCTTTGTGTGCTTAAAGCCGGGTAGTTTTCTGAGCTGTGTCAGCATTGCTCAATCTGGGTCTAAGCCCCAAGTAAGCGTGTGATAAAATTTCCTGATAGCAAATAGATTTGTTAGCTTGACATGCCTTTAAATGAATCCTGTGCATAAATCTGCACAGGATTGGGGCCTTGCAGGGTCTTGCAAAATGTCCAATGATAGTATTTGTAAAAAACTGCTTAACTCATGTCCTTTGCATGTTCGTGTGTTTGTATCTGTGTGTTTACATAGATAACAAACACCCACAAACATAAAAAGCATCTGTCTTAAAAACACAGTATCTGAGCACTGTAATCAGCTCTCTAATTACTGAGACTTGGTTATTTTTTAAAAACTAAGTCTGCTATGCGTGTGTACAATATGCAAGTCCATTACGAAGCATTATGAATAATTAAAAGCAAACTGTAGCCCTTGACAGAAACAAATGCAGATGCATGCAGCGATGCATTATCCTGGCTGGGCTCTGGTTTACTGTGACTCAGCTACTTGTATAAATTACGGAGTGCTTTTTGTAGCGTTCGACGGTTCTTTGTAGCGTTCGACGGTTCCCTTTTAGTATTGGTCTAAATCTAAGATACGAAAGATTAAACAAAGTCTGAATTTCCTTGTTTTGATAGCAGCAGTCACTGCAACTCCCTGCTTTTGCTAGTGCCCTGGAACGGACTGGTGTAGCCAATGAGTAGCTGAGGCTGAGGGTTCAGGGATTTTATAAGGTGAGCTACTTTTAGGCTTTGGCAGGTTTTTTCCTTGTAGGTCTCAGACACACCAGCTATCAATGCTCAGCTCTAGCAATGAATGTTTCAGCCGACACAGCAACAGCTGTGAAAAGGAGACGGGGAGAGAAAAGTTGATGCAGTGTTGTTTTAACTGTGACCCAAGATTAATGTGAAACCAAGGGAGAAAAAATGGTTTTCTCAGTATATTCCCAGTTGATTAAAGTTTATGTCCAGAGCTAGGACAAAGCTATTTTGGCTGGCGGTGATTTAAAGCGTTTGGTTGATTGTTAAAGCTTTTAGATATGGCCTCGCCATCTTTTGCTGAAAATATAATTTTCCTGAGATTTATACTTCTTACCTTCATTTTCTTTTTCCTGTTATATCTTGGACAGTTCAAAACAAAACCCCAAAAGCCCACCCTGCATTAAGCCCAACATGCTGTGAAAGCTTCTTGAACAGCTTGCCTTGGCACGATGAAATTAGTGTGATTATAGTCCAGCAATGGTGTGTGCGCGTGGGAAATACTACCCCTCCAAACTGTCAGAACTTGGGAAAGGAAACACAAAAACGCATTATTATTCATATGTGCTGTAGAGTTTCTGATTTGCTCTCATTGACTTCAGCGATACGGTGTCAGTTACCCCAATGCATGTAGCAACGGGTTTGTGTTTCATGGAACGAAGTGGAACGGCGATGTGGATGCACAGTAGCCCACTGTGGCTGGCTGGATGGCTTCCAGGTAGATGGAGACTTGGGCTGACCGGCTTAGGAGGCAATTCGCTGTGGTCATCCAAAAATCAGCTCTTGCTGGTGAGTCTCTTAAGTGTTCGCGTGCGCTGAGTCAGTCTCTTGTATACCTGTGTGATTGTCCCGCTGATTAGACTGAAAAGGCTTGGCAAATCCTATTTGTGTGGGAAGCTTGAGGCAAAAACTTGCCTGATTTACTTTATTTAAATCAATATAATCCTGCTTAAGGCCTTTTGGAGAGCACATCTAAGTGAATGGTGTTTTAAGTTAACACAGTGTCTTTCGTGTTCACAATAAAAGCTAGTTTCATTTGAAAAGGGTGTGCTTATGTTTAGCTTATACAAACTTTTTGCCATATTAAAGGTGGAAGGACTCAATCCTCCTGTGTGCACACATCGTCTTCTGTGAAATTTGTGCTTAAAAGATTTAATATCTTCAAGTTTGCTTTATGATCAGCGATTCTTTGAACTCGCAAACAAGAAAGTGTGAATAACTTCAAATATCTGTTTGAAGTCTGATTCTAAGGAATGCTGATGGTGGTTTTGACCTTACAATGTGAAGTTTGATGTCTTCCTCAAAACTGCAGTATTCTGGCGGAAATGTAAATACACTCTGAGCTTTTTTTAGATATCTTTAAAATATACTCTGTCTCTTAAAGACAGGGACTTTATTCCAGAGATCCTGGCTATTCAAGCCATGGAAATGTATTTCTGTTCACAAGGGCCCTGATTCAGCAGCTGATTTCTAATGAGCAAAGCTCACTTGCATGTGCTTTTGTTCAGAAGACAACGATCTGTGGTGGTTCAGACTTGAATGTAACATTTTTGGTAATTTTGAAGCTTCATAGAATAGAGAAAGGGCTAAGGGTGGAAGCTGACTGAGATGATTTAGAGTTTTATATAAGCACACAGATCTGCAAGTTGTCTTGTTGTGTTTGGTTTTGAAAAGCTCTTACTAACTACTTTGACATCTCGCTTTTATTCTCAAACATCTGCTTTAGATTGTTTGCCATAAAAGTGTAAGAATTAATTTCGCCCTTGTTTTTGTTATTGCTACCAGAAACCAAACTGTTTTTATTACTTCTTACATAGGGATTTGGACCTTGAACTATTTTCAGAGTTGAGGAGAAAATCAGTGCATGTTTTATTTTATTTTTTTTCTTCCTCGTGTGTCCCCCCCAAGCTTACAGGTAAAGTTAATTAAATCATAGTTTTTAACTGCACAAAGATGTTAGGCATGGCTTGTTAAACTGTATAGTAAGCTCTACTTGGCTTTATTTGGCCCAATATTATAAGTTTTAATGGCATTCAAATGATCAGCACATTTTGGTTTGTTTCTCAGAACAGCAGCTGCCCTGAGCCAGGGTAAGACATTTGCATCATCTGTGGAGAGCTGAGTACGTATTTTACTGTATGGAAATCATGTATGAAAGTCAAAGAAATGAAAACCTTCCTATATGTTTAGTCCTTTGATTAACAAATGTTCTTAAGACTTGGTCTTGGGGTTCCTTTCTGTTGGATTACAGATTGTTGGTGTTGTTTCCCAAGAAGCAGTAAATAGCTATGGCATTGAGTGATTTCTTTCCCTGTGTCGCATGTTATTAAATTTCAGGGCATTCTGCTGATGTGGGTTCATCCAGGACTTATGTCAGAGCATGCAGTAATCTTCCTTTCTACAATGGAAGTGTTGTTTTTAAGGCAAAACTGTCTTGTTATAAGCCTATAGCAGGAAATACTCAGGCAGCCTCTCTAACTTGCTCGAAATCTGATGTTTGTGCTGCAGTTGCTTTCACAGCAGTTTTCTCTTTCAGAATCTGTGGTAACACTTGCTTTTTTTTGTTTGTTTGAATACAAACGTTTTAGCAAAAGGGTTCACAAAGGAGCCAGTGAATGAGATGAAACAGATGAGGCATCTCTATAAAATAGAGAAATGGGATTTTTCTGGGAGCAAGTGAAATTACTGTGTGATTGTATTGCTGTTTTGCTGCCAGCTTCTATATTCTCTAAGTGAGATTTTAGATTTTTCATGGCAGGAACTATTCCTTTTTCTTTGTACTGAGGATGCCGTAGATGTTTCTGGTTATTGTGCTTCAAGGAGCTACAAAGCCGTAGCCACCAAAACCAGAATAATGCAGTAGGCCATGGAAGTTCTTGGGTACGTGGAGGGACTCTTTCTAGAATGCTCTCAGGATCAGAGGGGGCTTACAAATAGTGTTTCTGATCCTGTGAAGTTCTGTGAAAGTGCTGCTAAAATTCAAGTGCCATTGGTAGTATATGCTACTTTGAAAGCTGTCGCGTCTGTAGTTCAGATTGCAGCATCATTTTGATATAGCCTCTTAAAACATAGATGGAAACTCACACGGAAAGAAACTAAACCTCTCTGGAAGGACAAAAGAGTATGTTTTGTGCAGATTAAAAACACAGTTGCTTCTGCCCCAGGGAGTTTTTTTGTTTAGTTAGACAAAATCAAGGTGCGTTTTCAAAGCAATGCTGTGAACTGTGTGTTACATCTGCCGTGGTTCTCTTCCTGTCCCCGGAATAATCAGCTAATATCTACTTGCCTGTGCTGCATGCAAATGAGGAAAAAAGCCTACAAACAAACTACTTTCTACTTAGTGTTAAAAGTGGTAATTTCTAAATATATTGCAAACACATTTCAGTTTTCGTTTAAAATTTGCCCACAAATGTAAACATAACCCACAAATATTGTGAAGGCGTTTCATGTACTGCTAATGCCCGAAGACACTCTCTTCGTTTTTCTACTTTAAACTTCAGTTTTTCTAATGCCTCCTTTTAATCTTTTTGCCTGTTTCTAATAATTCACTCTGATGTTTGTTCTTCCTGCTTTTCCTATTCTGTTCATACTCTTCCTTTCATCTGCCTTTATTGTCCTTTTCTTCCTATTTTATTCCTTTTTTTTGTCCCCGTTGCTATAAAAACTTCTCTGCTTTCTTTTGCCAGACAGTTATCAACCTTTAGCAGTCCCTCCTTAAAATCTAGCTATTCAAAGAATCTCACTTTATTTCTTCTTGTTATCAGGCAGACATAAGCCATGCTGAATGTGGTGTTCTGCATCTTTATCAACATTTATCTAGGTCTAGGCTGTATGCTCAGTGAAACAGAGAATATGGCTCTGATTTTCACATGCACTCGAAGTTTCTCATCTTCTACAGGCTGAGGTCAGCTTTCTGTTCGGTTTTGTTATTTTAAGTAGTCTTTCCTTTTAAATCATCCATCAGACTCTACATTCCTTCAAAACAATATTATATAGTTGTGGCTGTTTGAATGGGGGGGA